TTAAACCAAGGGATAGCTTTACTTGTTTGAATATAAAAGTTGATCTACAATAACGCTTGTGTGAACAGTTACATATGAATATAAAATGCAATTCTAATTGGGATTCTATATTCTGAATATAGGAATGTTTGTAAATATGTTTCTCCTGTCTTGACTTATCACACCAAGCCAACTTACAGCTGTCGCATGCAATTGTAAAAGTGACAGGTACAATAGTCCCTTTGTGAAATGGACCTTGATATTTCCGATCTTTAAATAAGTAAAAAACAAACAAAACGGAGATGAAGTTATGTTTCTGTGGTTTTATCGCAAGAAGATCAAACTATAGTTTGAGGCGTCCAGCTGCAATTGGAACGCTGGAAACTGGTCGCGGCCAGCGCGCAATGGCCAGTACGTCAAGTTTCCCAGCTACCAACAGTCCAGAAATGTTAACCATCGACCCGTGCTCAGCGTCAACAATATAGGATCGATCGATCTGAACCCAGACATTAGGTATCGATCTGAACCCAGACATTAGGAATCGATCTGAACCCAGACATGAGGAATCGATCTGAGAAGTCAAATCCAATTCATGTAAACAGAAACTGTCGTACAAGTTGCGATTTGAGAACGTCTACATGCACCTGGTCTTAATGTTTGGGAACCCATATTCTGGATGCATTTTTTCACACAACACCACTATTACAACTACTGAATCGCTGCTGCTGCTACTGCTACTGCTGCTGCTACTACTGCTGCTACTACTACTGCTACTGCTGCTACTGCTGCTACTACTACTACTACTACTATTGCTATTACTGCTGCTACTACTGCTACTGATGCTGCTACTACTACTACTATTGCTACTACTGCTGCTACTACTGCTACTACTATTGCTACTACTGCTGTTGCTACTACTGCTACTGCCGCTGCTGTTACTACTACTACTATTGCTACTACTACTGCTGCTACTACTACTACTACTACTGCTACTTACTGCTACTACTGCTGCTACTACTACTGCTGCTGCTACTACTACTACTGCTACTACTACTGCTGCTGCTACTACTACTACTGCCGCTGCTGCTACTACTGCTACTACTACTACTACTGCTGCTGCTACTGCTACTGCTGCTGCTACTACTACTACTACTACTGCTACTGCTACTGCCACTACTACTGCTGCTGCACTACTGCTACTGCTACAGCAGCTACTGCTACTACTACTACTACTACTACTGCTACTACTGCTGCTGCTACTGCTGCTGCTACTACTACTACTGCTACTATTGCTGCTACTACTACTACTGCTGCTGCTGCTACTACTACTACTATTGCTACTACTGCTGCTACCACTGCTGCTACTACTACTATTGCTACTACTGCTGCTACTACTACTACTACTACTACTACTACTGCTGTTGCTACTACTACTACTATTGCTACTACTGCTACTGCTGCTACTACTACTATTACTTCTGCTGCCTGAATGATAGTGCATCGGGAAAGGGCAATCTGAGACTCGGTCCACGTGTTTTCAATAGGGCTGTAGTCCATGTGGACAATGGCCACCTGCTCTGTTAACGACTCTCCAACGATGAGTTTTGCATTGTCGACCAGGAGACTGAAGTCCAGAATGTCATCATCGTACCCCGCTGCAGGACATGTGGGTCGGTTCTTCCACCTCAATAACGGCCAAGGTCGGCTATGTCCGAAACATAACATCTCGTTTCACCAGTGAAAATGGAGCCTCGTTATGGCCTGAGGTGACCTTCAGACAGTGTGCAAAATAGTTTCCAAACTTTGCTAGCCAATCGGGCTAGCTATGTCTGAAAGTTACTAGCCCACAAAATAATACACTTGCCCGAAATTTGAATGTAGAAACTAAGCAAAAGATTACAAAAATAGATGAGAATAAGATATTGTCAACATGACACGGATTTCATCATTAAGCTGCTAATATGATGAACATTTTTATCAGGCCATAATCGTGCATGAATTATAAGTGTATTATTACTTAACAAGTCGGAGAGAGTGATATATTTCCAAAATGACCCATGAAAATGCACTCGCCAGTCGATCCAGTGACTGTAGAGATTTACTGGCCCGACTGGATTTTTACTAGCCACGGGCTAGCGGGCCAGAGGCTATTTCGCAAACTGCCTTCAGCCCAATCCAAGCAGTGTTGTTAGAACTGAATATAGACTTTGAAATTAAGAGTTGGTTTGTCTAGGGTATTTGGCTATACTCCAAGATAGATATTCTCTAAGGATATTGGAACACTTGCTAGGACAAAGGGCCAGCGCATCGCCCCTTTGTTCACAACTGAACCTTTTAATCCCTCGAAACATAATATCACAATATTTGCAATGAGACAACACCGCAGACAAGGCGTATTTGATACTGGTAGCAAGAGCGAATACAACTTGATAAGACGTGTTAGCTTGCATCATGCTGTTTCCATTGCCAGGGTCCCGATCCTCAAAGCGATCGTAGCGCTACCACTGTCGTAAGTTTATGTTAAAGTATGGATCGTCTTTGCGCTACGATCGCTTTGAGGAATTGGGGCCCTGGCTCTTTAGGTGATAAGGTTATAGAGGTCACATGAACGTTGATTTCAAACGTATTAACATGTGTGAAAATGAAGTTGCAGGAACCAAGCATTCCACATGATGTAAACATATGATCATCTTCTCTGAGCACCGGTAAATTAACATAAAAAACCGTTCGTATACATACTCTTGATGTACATATAATTTTTATCTTAGTTGTGTAAACATTTGACACTGAAAATTTGCATATATATCCAACCCTAGTAAACTTAGAACGAAATCGGAAATTGTAACACCTTTTGCAAGTAAAAGAAATGCACTGAAAATACTCCATGATCACGTATTTGCTGGTATACCTGTTTTTGATTCCATGCTTGGAAAAACCTGAAAAACCGGTCACAGCATACATGAAGGAAATGTGCACACGATGAGCGTTTGTCTATAGCCATGTACGAAATATATGTCCGAAGTTGAAACCTGATACGCAAATCCGGTCATAGCATGTATTTCCTATAGTTTTTGCGTTTATTTCAAAGGTGTACAAATCCGGCTTTTAGTCCTGTGATTAATATTTGTACTAACGTTTTTTCCTTTTAACTCGGACGTTACTAATGGCCATTCTAGTACATGTACATTAAATTAATATACGATGGCCAATTCATCCCAGATACTCCATGAGGCCTGGTGGCCATGTTCCTATATATCCTTTGACAGACGAACTGTGTGAAGGCGAGCCTTCTCCCTGAGTAATTCAAATCCAACGCGCAAAGTGGTCCCAGACTTGTTCCAAAACGTCATGACGAACCCATGTAAAACAAATCCCAGAACCTTTAAATCACACTGATATACTGTCATCATCAGTGTCACTCCGACAATGCCTGTTGCTTACCATATATGTCCACTAATGTCATGCTTTTGATTGTCTCGATGGCTACGCTTGTAAAACAATAATTTCTTAACTACCATTCTGTTACGTTACAAGGTAGTGATGACATGCTTATGCATGTGATGTTATTGAATGTTACCAATATGTGAGTGAGTGAGTTTAGTTTTACGCTGCCTTAGCAATATTCCTGCAATAACAAGGTGGGGGGCACCAGAAATGGGCTTCACACATTGTACCGATTTGGGGAATCAAACCCGTGGCGAACGAACGTTTTAAACCACTAGGCTATCCCACCTCTAAGTCACCAATATGTACAATATTCCCCTTCACTGCTTCCTAGATAAACGCCGCCATGTCCTCGTGGACACGTGAGAAAGTGGAAAGCCAGTGGTTACACTGCCTGGCTGCCGTTGTACGATCTTAGCACTAAAGTGACCGTAACTCCCATACCTTAACATAGACTTAAGGTAGTCTTAGCGCTAAGGTTGTTTTGTACAACGGCACCCTGGTTGTTACAAGATCCTATTTGTTGTTACGCTGCCTGGTGGTGGGTGTTAAAGGGATGGCACAAAGACTGGTCGCCTCAGAATATGTGTCTGACTGGAGTAGCAATGTTAAATATGCGCATGCTGCGTTAGAGAGCTAATATAATGAAACAGGCGTAAGTCAGGACCGGATGACATCAGTGTGCCACCACACACACACGCGCGCGCGCACACACACGCACGCACGTACACACGTACGTAGACACACATACAAACCGTTACGTCAGTGACCTTTCGCCTCTAACCACCCCTGAAAAAGTAAAATGTTCCACAAAACATTCACAGCATAAAATGTATGACACCTGAATGTTTACTTCGCAGACATTATTCAGATACATTTTCTTCGTGAAGTATGGGGTATCTTTACATCAGAATTTGGTGATCATCATCAGAAACAGTGAATTATCCTTTAAAAATGACCTGAATGGTCACTGGGTCTAACTTGACAATTGGTTCATCTGATCAGATACCGCCAGGATATAGCTTCAAGTTCAAACATTTCCAGAACTTGGTAAACAATCAGCTTCATGACGGTCGTATCCACAAGCAGACGAAGATGTACAACTTCAGACCTATTCTATGCATAAATATACAGTATTAACGCCTCTGTGCGCTTCTTTACAAGGAATTCAGAAATAATACAAAGTCTTCAGAACATGAACCCCCTCACGTACAACGTTTGAATTTAATGAGTCATTTGAACACAGATAGCTTGCATACTAGACTTTGACCTTTCTTCAGATGATCATGCAGAAGTTGAGGAATTTTGTTGCAAGATAAACAGTACAAAGATCGTACTTCGCAAGTTAATAGAAACTGGGTGGGTCAGTTTGTTGTTTGTAAAGCTGCCATCCAATCAGTGTTTGCCAATGAGTCACGAGGGATGTTAGTTATAGACCATACCATAGATAACAAAGATTCTATAATTAGTAACACGTTGCCATTGCAAACAGGTTCCAAAGTCCGAAAGACATGCCGTTGGTGTTGACATTCCTACATCGTCTATCTCTGAACGTCGTCGCACACCCCGGAGTTAGCTTGGCCGTTTGTGAACACTCCCTATCATAAAGCTCGCGACGACTGGCAACAGCGGACGTGTTTGGTAGCGCTCGTGAGTTGTCCATATCAGATCCTCCGACGACCTCAGTCTGAAATGTAAAGACCAATACGTCTCTAAAACCATCTGTTAGAGCGGAAACTATACATTGAGTAAAATTGGATGAACTAGAGCCATGATTCGCCATGCATTATTCGCCGGTGTGGTGTTTACATTTCTGTCGTATGTTTCCGGGCAAGCTGACTTAGAGCACAGTTACACCGCGGACAAGCAGCCCCTGAATGAAACAGCCCTGTTTGTGGCCGACGCTTTGTATAAACACCCCAAACTGTTCCGTAAGCTGCTGAAGATCGGTGCTGCTGCTAAGCCATTGTTGAATGTTGGGGGAGATGACCCAAAAACTTCCATGTTTTTGGACTTTGTCCTGGATCTATTACCAGGAGTGCTGGGGTCTCCTCAAACCGCCAGCATCCTGGAAATCCTGGCAGACGAGCTCCACAGAGTCAACATCACTGATGTGTATCAGTACGTCCAAAGTCAACACTGGAACCAAACCGACCCAAGGACAAAGCAGGCGATCAGTGGAAGCCTTTTAAAAAGATTTGATAAACTCAGAGCTGCCCGGAGAGTCCTGACGCGTTATTCCGCTCGTGATTTTCTTCCCAGGACCAGCAACGACACCATCACCGACGTCTGCTACAACGACATGATGAATTTCATGGACGCCCTCGTCAGCGCTCAAATCCCACCAAGAGACAACCTCAACTACACTTTCATTCCCTGGGCTCTCAACAGTAAGTATATTTGTTTGTTGTTTAACGCCGCACTCAGCAATAATCTAGCTGTATGGCGGCGGTCTGTAAGTAAATAATCAAGTCTGGACAAGACAGTCAAGTGATCAACCGCATGGTGTCAACCAAGTCAGCGAGCCTGATCACCCGATCCCGTTAGTCGCCTCTTTCGTCAAGAATACGTTGCGAAATACCAAATCTAACCCGGGTCTTCACGATTACCACTTCACATGTATGTGGCGTTTTGACTTAGGTAACCGATAAACAACTCCCAATATACGACAACTAGAGTTCCTGTGTACATATAACCCTTATTCAAGTCATCGACGTCTCCACCCTCCTTTACAAACTTAATGATGGGTTTGGTACCGTATTCATATAGACACAATGTATTTGAATGTATATTTAGTAACAGTATTTTTAAAATCAGGACTGAATGAATGGTTTCAACTTATTCATGCCAAGAAAACGACACCACGTTTTTCATTGGAAGAGCATGTTGAAATACTCTCTTCAAAAAGCACTTTGTCTATAGACGTTTGAATTTTCACCTTTTGCCATTGAAATTACATAAAATAATTGTTCTTAAACTAACGCAATAATTTCTTCTAAAATGGCTCATGCGTTTCTCTTTTTGAAGAGTGTATTTGTCGCCTAGCAGTACATATTTATCTAATTATTAATACATCACATCCCGTGAGAAATTGGGGTATGCAGCAATTGTCATCCAACATCGGCTTCAGTAAGGATCAGGTGGTCTCCGTGTATTGCATAGCGGATGGTGTCGCCCCGCAACGAGATAAGTCGCCCATGATATTAACCACTTGCATGCCATTTCTAGGCTCAGTAAATCGTCGAGGTTGGAGAAAGCATGGGTATCGCTGTTTCGGTGTATAACAACACTCAAACACTCACTGGCCCAACCATCACCCTAACGAAGAGACTCGACAACAGCGTGATACGTCACATCCTCGATAATCTCCAGGGTATACGTTACGATCACTCTCCACTATACCCTGGATGCATCCACGGCTTGGCCCCATAATTATATTACCTCCCTTGGCCAGCATTTTATCCAATCATGTGTCTACGCTGGGAAGTTGAGCGAACCAATCACAACTGACTTCTTAAATTATCTAACCGTTTAAACTTGGCAACACAATTGAAGCAGAGGTACTCTGAAAGAGGTAGAAGGAGTTCTTTCATATATTTTTTGAAAGTTTCAGATCTGTCAGTTTGTCTGTATTTTTTCCCAAAAAATCTGAGTGGCACTGCGAACAAACCTTCATGACTGCGACCGCTATATTTGGCTACTGTGAGAATGCGGAGTCAGCAAAAGGGAGGTAATATAATTATGGGGCCAAACCGTGGATGCATCCAGGGTATAGCGGAGAGTGATCGTAACGTATACCCTGAAGATTATCGAGGATGGATACGTCACTGCGAAACGAATAGACTAATGCTTAGTCTCCGAATATATATAATTTTGATAGTAACAGACAAGCCCATCTAAATTGAAAAGGAGCCCCAGGGAGACCAGAGATTCAGAACCTGAACCTGAGGAAATCTAGACTTGCTTTATTTAGGGCTTTAGCACTGCAGAGAGGGCTAGGCAGTAGGGAACATAGTGTGGTTCAGGGACTGTGAGACAGAATACGAAACGAATAGTGTACGGTTTAAGTGATGAGTGTAAATGTTGTCATAACAACAGAGTTTGCTAAATAAGAGTTACATTTACTAGAAATCAACAGACAGTAAACAGTTTTGGACAGACATGTCTATGTCAACAGACTGTGTGCAGCAGATTTTTTAGGGAATCATGACAATTCATACAAAAACATAACTGTATCTGGGGAGGGTCATATTAAATGAAAGGCACGTGCAGGGAGGGTCATGAATAAGACTAACATCTTATTAAAAAGGTTTCAGAGCTTCTGCATTTTATGACAAATAGTTATATAATACGAAATATTATAAGCCTTAGGGGGAGAGTCACCATATTCAGTACATAAAAAAAACTCTGAAAGCACTGTGAAGGTTAAAACGCTATTGCCAGTTGGGTTAGCACATTTTTGCTGGTTGAATTAGCACGTTATTGTGAAATAGGTTAGTACACTATTGCTTGTGGGGTAAGCTCGTTTTTGCTTGTCTGGTCAACATATGTTGCTAGTTGGGTAACCACGGCATTGCCAGCTGGGTTAGCATGCACTTGTTTGTTAGGTAGCATGATGCTGCTAGCTAGGTTAGCAGGATATTGCTGGTTGATAAGCACGTTTTTGCTAGGTTACCAGGATATTGCATGGTTGATAAGCACGTTATTGCTAGGTTAGCAGGATATTGCTGGTTGATAAGCACGTTATTGCTAGGTTAGCAGGATATTGCATGGTTGATAGGCACGTTATTGCTAGGTTAGCAGGATATTGCTGGTTGATAAGCACGTTATTGCTAGGTTAGCAGGATATTGCTGGTTGATAAGCACGTTATTGCTAGGTTATCAGGATATTGCATGGTTGATAAGCACGTTATTGCTAGGTTACCAGGATATTGCAAGTTGATAAGCACGTTATTGCTAGGTTAGCAGGCTCTTGCGTGTTGGGTAGCATGGTATTGCCAGCTAGGTTAGCACGCTATTGCTGGTTGGCAAGCATGGCATTGCCAGCTGGGTTAGCATGCTATTGTCTGTTGGGTAGCATGGTATTGCTATCTAGGTTAGCAGGATATTGCTGGTTGATAAGCACGCTAGTCCTTGGTTAGCAGGATATTTCGTGTTGGGTAGCATGGCATTGTTAGTCAGGTTAGCACTCCAATGCAAGTTGGGTAGAATGGCATTGCCAGCATGGTATTACTAGCTGGGTCAGCACGCACTTGATTGTCACTGTCAGCGCAGGCATAGCTATTTATAGGCCGTCATGATAAAGCTGGAACGCCCGTGTGCGGCGTGTAACAACATCATCTCACTGACGCGGTCACAGTCAGCTGTCGTAGTTGGAGGCGTGATCAATTCAAACCGCATTACCTGCTCTGCTTTCAAAGTCCAAGCAGTGTCACACACAAACAATTGAGACTAAGGAGGCTATCAGCTGATCTCTCTGTCTCGTGATGGACACAGAGGATGTTAGTCTGGATGTTTTCTGAATTCAATCAGTTTTTGTCAAACGCGAATAGAATCTATTGGTATCAATTATGTATCTTCAGAAACACTGGAAAGTGAACAAAATAACGAATAGTCTACACGAAGCATATTTTTCGGTACTAAAATGTGAATAATATAATATAATATAATATAATATAATATAATATAATATAATATAATATAATATAATATAATAATATAATATAATATAATATAATATAATATAATATAATATAATATAATATAATATAATATATTTGATTGATTGATTGATTGATTGATTGATATAATTAATATAATATAATATAATAAAATAAAATAAAATAAAATAAAATAAAATAAAATAAAATAAAATAAAATAAAATAAAATAAAATAAATGGAATGGACTGACTGACTGACTGAGTTTGGAATGGACTGACTGACTGACTGAGTTTGGTTTTACGCCGCTTTTAGCAATATTCCAGCAACATCACGGCGGGGGACACCAGAAATGGGCTTCACACATTGTACCCATGTGGGGATTCGAACCCGGGTCTTCGGCGTAACGAGCCAACGCTTTAACCACTAGGCTACCCCACCGCCCCTTGGAATGAAATGGAATGAAATGGAATGAAATCAAATCAAATCAAATGAAATGATATGATATGATATGATATGATATGATATGATATGATATAGTTAATATAATATAATATAATATAATATCGCAGCACTAACAATTTGTGGTATATTACATACAGACAAAAATTTAAAACACGTTATCGAATGGTAACAAACTGAGATCTACACTATTTTAATACACTTTTGAAAACAGCCTGTTCAGCAGAAAGAAATTATAAACTTGTATGGAATCAAAATCAGAGTCTTTTGATGGATGAAGGGCCACACCTTCTAAAATGCCATGTGTGACCAAGGACTGATAGAGTAGATATGGTTGTATGACGCTTTAAGTCAAAACATAACTTACATCACAAATTATACCAGTTTAGCGCTCGAACATAGTCCGTGGGCGTAACGTGACGAGCGAACAATGTAATAACTGGCCTATGTCATAGCCCCCACAGTTCATGCATTCGGGGGCGAATATTCTTGATATGCACGCCATATTTCATACACATTTAAGTGTTATGTAACTTTTGTAGAAAGATACGTTATCCGAGGCGCTGAGCACGTGGTCTGGAACTTCAGCGTACGTGATCAGAAGCCACGTCTCGGCCATTTCCGTAAATAGCAATCGGAATGTCTCCTACTGGCACATCTGATATGTCGGTTGACGCTTGCTACGTTTACCGGACATGGACGTTTACGCGCACCTGTTCAAAGTATAAACAGATAACGACTGTAAATAAACACTGGAACCATCACATCTTGCCATCCATTGTTGCATGAGTGATGTTGATTCCTTACACGTCCTTCTTCATGAGCACGCCACGAGGGTTGGGAGTTGTTTGGTGTTTTTGACAAATATGTATTGTCCATTGTAATTATTGAACAGTAACATATGAATAATCGTTTTCCACGACTGGTTCTTCCTTCGGTTAACTTTTCTTCCATTTCTGAGATTTTATTGAATTATTCATATTATTATGGTTACATATACCTCTTTGTTATTTTATATTCCTGTTTGTTGCTAGTTATATACATTGTGTGCTCTAATAGTTCAGAGCGCATTAAATAATATCTTAGCCATATTACACACAAAAATGGACACACACACACACACACACACATGGAAACGAACGTGGCTAATGGTATCAGTTGAATGTTACCGAACTTACACAAAACTGAGACCTGCGAAGATAACCCAAGACACCTAAGCTAAATATCAGACATATAAGGGCCATTTCGACCACTGGGATTAGGAAACAT